TTGTTTACAATCTTGATTGGAAGAGAGTATATATTTAGATAGAACATTTCAGCTCCATGCATGCAATGCATTTGATTGCATATGAACAAACCACTGGTAACACCTTAAAGACCTTTCTATGAGCTTTACATGACACAAACTAATAATAATTTAAGGAACAGTGGTGTTTGGGCTCCTACAAATTCATCCATTCATTTTTATAACAGATTTCCTATGTTGGGCTGATGGAGCTGATGCCAGTGGTCATTAAACACAAATTTGTTTTAAAAAACTTGTCATCAAACAGCACCAGTTGTTTTATTTTTATTCTTCTGAGGTCGGAAATTTCCAATCAGGCATGTCCTCAGGTGAGGCCTCAGAGGGGGTATTTGTGACAAAAACGTCAGCTCCATGCATGCAATGCATTTGACCACTCATAAACAAATCATTGGTAACACCTTAAAAACATTTCTAAAAGGTTTACAAACACACTAATAATGATATGAAAAACTGTGGTGTCTGGGCTTCTAGGAATCCATCCATCCATTTTATTACTGGTTTTCTATGTTTGGTTGATTAAGCTGGTGACTGAATTAAAAACCTGTGACTCTCTTTCTGGAAGACAACAGCTTATAATACTGCTTTACTAAGAAAGTTAAAAGTAATTTAGCTATTTGTTGCTGTTGAAGAAAGAAAAATAATAATAGATTTGTAAAACCTATTATTTCATTAAAACCCYTTGAGTTGTTAATTAGACATTTTGACCTGTGCAACATTTCCAGCAAAAACTAATTATTGAAAAAGTTTTTTTATCCTTCTGAGGTCAGAAATTTCCACCGAGTCATGTCCTTAGGTGAGGCCTCAGAGGGAGAATTTGTGGCACCAGACAAAACAAAAGAACATTGTCGATCTTTAAATTCTAAGAAAACAATTGCATTTTCAGGCAGCAACAACAATATAATAAATGTGATGAAACAAATGATGATGTGTTGAAAAGTTCATCAGTTCAGATAGATGAGTGTGACAGAGTGTAGGGAGTTGTTGTGTGGCCAGTGGGTTGCTGGTTCAAACCCTTGGTTCTTGGGATGAACACTGCACCTCCTTGCCTGTTGATGGTCATTGGGTTTTGGTGGAGTCGGTGCATAGCAGCCTCACTTCTGTCAGTCTGACTCTGGGCAGCTGTGGCTACAATGTAGCTTACAGCCTTTTGAATGATTATAATGTAAAATGATTTGGAGTCCTTGGGCTTGATAATAAATCATACAAGTTCAAGCTATTTACCATTTGTTTTTCTCAATGTTACAAAACTGCAATTAATATTTTCTGGTTTAAATATACACACACACACACACACACACACACACACACACACACACACACACACACA